ATCCTCGTCAGCACCACCGATCATCATCGCGGACCTTTGACCGGACAGGACGTCCCGTCCTGGTCTATACGGCTGCTAATTTCCCAATCTGCCGTACCACCTTGGCCGTGAGCTCTCTGTCCAGTCCAGATGCCGGACCGACGCCACTGTTCATGCTGGCTAGCCACACCGCAACGGAGCTGGTTGTTGGGGCTGCTGTGGCCGTAAACCGAAATGTGTGTGACGGTTGGCAACATGAAACACACTTGCCTTCTACCCGTATCTTGCCAAGTGCCCTTGGTCTCTGCCGCACGTCATGGTCAGCCAGGCACTGTGGGAAGAATGACAGACCACGGTGCCCCCTGACCGGGCACAACCCCTACCTTGGTTCCCTGTGGGTAGGCCGTCTTGTGAGCCTCTTCACCGTCGATCGAGAGGCCCATCCCATACGCAGGGATAGACAAGCCACCCCAAGACTCTGGGCTAATGCTCCTTGGCCGTAGATCGTGAACCAGGTCACCCATGCCGTTGCCCAATCAAGAAGTAAGTGGACCATAGGCGCAGGTTCTCCTGTTCACAGCCGCCAGTATTACTATGTAGATCCATGGCATTGTGCTTCCATCTGGTGGAGACCACGGCTCAACTCAACCCAAGATGTTGGGGCAATAAGTGTAATAATAGAAGACGAAGAAGGGGTAAAGTGATAGATCGCAAGCTTCTGGGAAGTTAAATACTCTCCTTCTTGTCTCTCAAATCTGTCAGTCCCAGCCCAGGATCACCATCCAGCTTCTTTCTTCTTCACCTTTTTAATAATTCATCACCTGTTTTCTTCATATTTTCCTTGTATCAGGTTCTCTATTCTTTCTTCTTAGACTTCACGGTTTATTCACTCTCACCATCTCATACTACTACCATCGTCAACATGCGTCCTTCTACACTTCTAGCTTTCCTCCCCCTGGCCATGGCTGCCCCTTCTCCCGCTCCTATCAAGCGTGACAGCCCTGCTCCTCTCATCACCCCCCGCGGCAACAAAGGTGTGCCAAACAGGTTCATCGTCCGGATGGTGGATGGCATCAAAGAGAGTTCCATGTCTTCCTCTATGAAGTCCCTCAAGACCGCATCACACTTCAAGTACTCCAAGAGCTTCAACGGATTCGCTGCCACTTTGGACGAGGATCAGCTTGCCGCTATCCGAGAGAACCCTAATGTAAGTTGTATAACAAACACCATTGTTCTATGCCTCCTCCGGCCATGATTCTGGAGACTCACAAGCAAATAGGTCGAATACGTCGAACAGGAACAAATCATGCAAATCTACGAGACCCAGCAGGACGCTACATGGGGCATTTCCCGACTTTCCTCCCAGACGCCAGGTGCTACCACCTACAGCTACGACGCGGCCGCCGGTGAAGGTACATGCGCATACGTCCTTGACACTGGCATTGATGTCGCTCACCCTGAGTTCGAGGGCCGTGCCACTTGGGCCGCCAACTTCGCTTCCGGTAATAGCACTCGTGATGTCCAGGGCCACGGCACCCATTGCGCCGGTACCATCGGTTCCAAGACCTACGGAGTCGCCAAGAAGACAAAGCTCTTTGCCGTCAAGGTGCTCGGCGATGACGGCTCCGGGACTACCTCTGGAGTAGTCGCCGGCATGGAATGGGTTGTCAAGAATGCCGACAAGTCAAAGTGCCCCAATGGCATCGTCATCAACATGTCGCTTGGCGGAAGCTACTCTCGCGCCATCAACGATGCTGCTGCCGCTATTGCTGACTCTGGATTCTTCCTTGCTGTCGCTGCTGGCAACTCCGCCGTCGATGCCAGCACGAGCTCTCCTGCTTCCGAGCCCAAGGCTTGCACCGTTGGTGCCTCAGACTCCTCGGATAAGATCGCCTACTTCTCCAACTTTGGCAAGCTCGTTGACATCTTCGCCCCCGGTGTCAAGATCCAGTCCACCTTCCCCGGTGGGAGGACCAAGGTCATGAACGGTACTTCCATGGCCTCTCCCCATGTCGCTGGTCTCGGTGCCTACCTCCTCAGCATTGGACAGAAGGCTGATGGCCTGTGTGACTACATCGCCAAGACTGGTCTCAAGAATGCTATTTCTGGTGTCCCCAATGGCACCGTCAGCACTCTTGCTAACAATGGCTTCTCCAGCCAGTAATTGCACCTGCTTTTCTTTTCTTTTCTTCTTCTCTTGTCACAATGACAAGCTTGGTTTCTTCCATAATGAACTTGGAAGGAATATATATTTTACTATGATGCCATAATTAGATATAGAAGCGCATTGCCATCGCGGGTTGTTTTTGGGTTCGGATGTTAGAATTAGATATGTTTTGTTTCTGTCTCATATTTTCGCCTTTGGGCTTTTCTTCAATTGAGATGTCTAATTCAATATTATTCACTTTTTCAAGTTTCGCCGTAATTCTTGACTTCTGCCCGTGTCAGTGGCCTCCGCTTGAAGCTGTCGACATGTCACTTAAGATCCCTTGATCTCCACCACCCTGCAGTCAATATATGACGAGTTCAACCGAATACTATAGTACTTTGATACCTAATCATATTCGTATCTGTACATCATCAAAGTGCACTTTTCGCATGCGGGGTCACATGACTACAGACCACGTCAGAGTGTGCTTGCGCTGAGCCTTGACCTGACAAGCTCGTGCTGCTGAGAACATCACCACTTTGCAACAACAAAAACTTCGAGTCTGCATACATTGTATTCGCATGCCATGTGGCTGATACGTGTGAATGACTACGCTCTCAAGGAGTTCCTTGGCGAAGCAGAGACTCCGCCCTACGCGATTCTCTCCCACATGTGGTCGCGGACAGCGAGCGACGAAGTCACATTTCGAGAAATGCGAGAAGACCTCGCTTCTGCGCAATCGAAGTCATGCTTTGAGAAAATCTCCAAAAGCTGCGTTATTGCCAAATCGCATGGCTTGTCTTGGGTTTGGATCGACACTTGTTGCATCGACAAGACGAGCAGCGCGCACCTTTCTGAAGCTATCAACTCAATGTACAGATACTACCGGGACTCTGCGGAATGTCTCGTGTATTTGGCTGATGTCTCATTCGATGAACCTAAAGACCCTCCAATTAAAGTCACTCGGGCCAAGAAGCATGAAGCCGTCGGTAAGAGTCGTTGGTTCTTACGAGGATGGACACTACAAGAGCTCATCGCGCCCAAGAAGCGCTATTTCTACGACGGCAATTGGAACGCTATCTCTTGGGGAGCAGCTCTATTACGAACCCTCGCGAAGGCTGGGAACCTGCCGGTTGAAATCTTAGAGGACCGAGACCAGTTGCCAAATATCAGCCTTGCAAACCGCATGGCCATGGCTTCAAAGCGCACGACAACACGAGACGAAGACATGGCATATTGTCTGTTCGGCATCTTCGATGTCAACTTGCCAATTCTTTACGGCGAAGGCGCAAAGAGGGCTTTCCGCCGCTTACAGCTCGCAATCATGGAAACAAACCCATTTGATCATAGTCTCTTCGCTTGGCGCGCCGATCGTTCTGATAGCGGGTTGCTCGCCAATTCTCCCTCTGATTTTGCCGACACGCCATCTATTGGGAATTGGTTGAAACGTGAGTTGAAACGTGAGATTGACCCCATCCTCGTTCCCTTCTCTATGACGAATGTGGGCCTCTCATTCAACTGCAATATTGTGGACATACCTAAAAAGGAGGGCATAACTCCCTCCAGGCCGAATAAGCGCATCTTCCATGTACTGGCGCCACTTCAATGCCATCTCGTGGATCGTGAATCTTCAGCCTTGTGTCTCTACCTTGAATATATCCCGGAATCTCACTTCCGTGTTAATGATGAATGGCTCCCCGCGTATCGTCGCGTAAAGTGTTCGGAATGGAAGCTTGTGCCTCACAAAACTTTTAGGAAACCAAAATTCGTGACTATTTCTGTCTTAGAAGACGAGCAATACAGGCTCTATATCTAATGCAGAATCTCGCTCCGAATGGCGGTCGATCCGTTTGCTTCGATGAGGATCGGAAAAGTCCGGAAAATTGTTAAGACAAGGCACGTTTGGCAACACGAAGGGAGGGTTTCGTTCAATGGCGAAGTTATCACAACATGACCCAATGCCGGTTTTATCTAGTCAATAGATCTTTTTTTGCTTTTAGAGTATACTTGATTTAGAATCCCAATCTACTCAAGATGTATGCTCGCCCAAATTGCTGAAGAGGTCAAGTCGTTAGAAACGCTATAATATAAACGCGCAACTTGCATTTCCAAAAACATCGACGCAGCATCAAAGAGCACCGCCACCATTGCTCATCACGCATAAAGACGCTGAAGTAATGAATGATGCCAAGCCTATACTGAGTGTTTGACCCAGTACGCCTGCGGGTTACACCATCCCTTCAGCCCAACCTCGCCCCAATCCATGCCCAGGCCGCTCTGCTTGTGGCCTCCGAAGGGCACGTTGGGCGCGAGCTCGAAATGTGTATTGACCCAGATGCTGCCCGCCTCGAGCTGCTCGACCATGCGCTGCGCACGAGGCACGTCCTTGCTCCAGACCGAGGCGCCGAGACCCATCTCCGTTGCGTTGGCACGTCGGATGACCTCTTCCTCGTCTGTCCACTTGAGCACAGGCACGATGGGCCCGAAAGGCTCCTTGGTCACGATGTCGGACTCATCGGGGGGGTTGTCGATGATGGTGGCAGGCATGAAGAAGCCCTTGCCCTCCTTGGGGCCAGGAGCGCCGCCAAGCGCCGTCTTCCAGCCCTGCTTCTCGATTTGCGAGTAGAATGCCTGCAGCTTGTCGTACTGCATCTGGTTTTGGATGGGGCCGAAGAAAGCTTCTGCGTCTGTGTGGTCGCCGACCTTGTACCCCTTGGCTGTCTCGATCAGCTTGGCGAGGAATTTGTCGTAGATGTTCTCGTGCACGAAGATACGCTTGATGTTCATGCAGATCTGGCCGCCATGTACAAACGTAAGGAAGGCGATCTGGGATTTCGGTCAGCATACGTCAACAATAAACATCGTCAATCTATCAGTAAAGGCTGTATACCTTGGCAACAACCGCGTCGATGTCGACGTCCTCACAGACGATAGCTGCATCGTTACCCCCCAACTCGAGCGTCACGCGCTTGAGAGTTCCAGCGCAGGCGGCCATGATCTTCTTTCCTGTCGCGACAGAGCCAGTGAAACTGACCTTGGCGACATCAGGATGGGCAGTCAACTGGGGGCCCAGGCTCTCCTCTCCGCTCAGGGCTTGGAAAACGCCTGGAGGGAAAATCTTGGTACCGATTTCTGCCAACTTGAGTGCCGAGTATGGGGAGAATGGTGAAGACTTCCATATGAATGTGTTGCCCGCAAGAAGGGCAGGGAGGAGCTTGCCAATACCCAATGTGAGAGGGAAATTCCATGGTACAATTCCTACTCCCACTCCCAGAGGAACATATCGCACAATCGCGGTACGCTGAAGGGTGCAATCGTATTAGTGTGTTGTTTTGGGGGATTATACAGGTAAAGACAAAAGGGTCATTCGACTTACATCCTCGTCGTCAATTGGCTTGTCCTCCTTGATTCGAAGCTGGGGAGTTCCGCGGGCCAGGCCCATGACCAGGAACATCTCAAAGCCGCCGGCTCCAGGTGGCTTTCCTACCTCCTTACCAAGAAGATCAATGAATTCTTGCTGGTTTGCTTCGATGGCATCCGCAAACTTGTTCAGATACTCGGCGCGCTCGTCCCACGAGAGCTTCCGCCAGGCGGGATACGCCGCCTTGGCTGCGCTTACGGCGCGGTCTACGTCTTCTTGAGTTGAGACTGGCACCTCCCACAAAGGCTCCTCGGTGCTCGGGCAGATGGCCCGGCGTGTGGCTGCTGTTGAGGTCAACTCATTGTTGATGACATTGTGGAACGTCTATATCGAGTCAGCCATCAGTCGATCTGGTCATCGAAACTAGAGAGTAGTTCCTACATCAAAAGAGATTTTGTAATCTGTTGTGGACGCCATGATGTGTCTCTTGCAGTCTAATCTTTGGGTTGAGTATGAACAGCGATAGTTTGTATCCAGAAAGTAATGAGACCGGGTGAGGGAAACCAAGAGCGGATGAGCGTCCTTTTGACCAGTTTTGCCTTGTTGGTAAGACGCCTGCTTTGATCCTATGGTGCATCTACAGACTGTATGCCTGCTACTCTGACCCACCCAACGTGGTGGAGGAGGTCGTATCGTTCGTGGATGAAAGCGGGCTCAACCCGGTTGTTGACAGGGTTCTTGATTTAGTCTATGACCGTTTGGCTTCACTCTCATCCTCCAATTTGGACTTTGGTGCGGTTTCAGCAGGGGCCACGATGCAGTTGGTCCCAGTAGCCGGCCAACAGAAACTTGGCACCGAGTAAGAGAGCAAGGTAAATTTGTGGGAAGCCTTTGTTGTTCCTGGCTCGCAAAATTATCATCGTCTTAAGCTAATGCAGTATGCCTTCTGCGTAATAAAATGGTACCTAGACGTTGTATGAGGCATTCTTCTCTCATCAGATCCCCGGTCTGGGGTGTTCGAGACTCTCAACCCTGAATGGGGAATCCTTTCTTTAACCCAAAACGTTTGCTGACGTGCTGTCATCTGGCAACTCTCCACGATTCTGCAAACATCCCATTTTGGTAACATGTAGCGACGACATCTGACCTGCGCCATCTTGCAGTATCCCCTCCAGTTCTCAAATCCTAGGTGAGCTCTCAAAAAAGGGGCACGAACCCGGGGGGGTCCCACTGAGAACAATGGGCATCTGCAAGGCTGTTAGGTACATCCACCAAAGTCGGTAGAGTCCGGGTTCTTTGAACCGGGCGTCGAGATCGTCCATCACACTTTGAATGCAATTTCCAATCCGCATGGGGTCGGGGCAAGTTCGATAATTCCCCGTCGATATAGGCGATCAGTCCTCGAGAGCTGCCCGCCAGTTTGGCACCGGCTCGAACCCCTTCCTCGGCATTTACATGATCACCTTTTCCCCCTGTCCGGTACATTTGCCTGTTCGGCGACGGCCAACTTGCTTTTTTTCAAATGGCCTGTCTGATGCCCACAATTATTGTGAGCCTCGGTGGCCGCATATGAACTTAGTAGACAAGTTCCACTCACAGCCAGTGAGCTTGGACTGTTCGTCATGAATTAATATAATCTGCTGCCCACATTCCTCGTCCATTCCGGATGTCTGGATTTCATCTGCAGATGCATCATGGCGTACAACTCGGCACTTGTCGAGACATGGTGTCTCTACGCCGTAGGGTCTCTGATTTTCATGGCCAGAATAGCCTGCCGTGTACGAACGATCGGACTGGCGGGTTTCAAGCCTGATGATTACATCGTCTTCCTGTCATGGGTGAGTACATATGACTCTCCCAGGAATCCTCCCGACAACGATCCTTTGGCTATGTTGCTAACAATGGCAATCTGGTAGGGAACTTACACAGTCATGACCGTTGCAGCGCATTTCGTTGGCGGAGTCGGCGACCTACATGCATTATCCGAGGAAGAACGCAAAAACCTGACGGACGATGAAGCAAAGGTTCTGGTTTTCGGCACGCAGTGGTTCTGCATCGGCGTCGCGACGTATGTGCTCTTCATCTGGACACTCAAACTCAACATGCTCTTCCTGTATCAACGCGTGGTCAAGGGGCTATGGGTTGCAAGGTTCATCAAGCCGACGATCTATCTGGTCATCGCAACTTTCGTGGCCATTTACTTGATACTCTTTTGCGCATGCCGTCCGTACAGCCGGATGTGGACTGTTTACCCTGATCAGGGTGGTGAGTTGGCCGGCGCAGCAATTCATTTACACATCAGCTGGCTTTTGCTAACACTTGATTCACAAGGGATCTGTCGTCCTGACTCTGTGCTCAACATGGTGCCGGCTCTAGTGATGAACGTCATCACAGACGTGCTCATCATGGCGATTCCGGCGCCAGTTGTAATACCTATAAAGACAGCGCTGTGGAAGCGGGTCATCTTGATCGCCCTCTTCGGGGCCGGTCTCTTCATAATGATCGCGGCCATTCTCAGAGTGACCATGGTCCTTGTGGTAAGCTACAACTCTTGGCCCTGTTTTTCTTCATCACATTATTCTCTTTATCATGCCGGCGCTTTCTCGGCATCATCGTTCGTCCCACCAGAACTGACAATGTATGACCTCCTACAGATGAAGACCGGGTCTACCGCAGCGATATGGTCGTGCCGTGAAGACTTTGTCGCCATCGTCGTGGGACAGGCCATGCTACTCCGCCCCATCTTCACCAAAAACTTCTGGACCACCGGGACGTACAGGTCATCCGGAGCTGGATATTCTTCAAAGAACAGCGCCAACCCCGGTGGATCCGAGGCAGCCACCAAGCGGAGCAGAGCTAATAAGGATCCCTTCAGCGTGACGGTCGCGCTAGCCACCATCCAGGGCAACGACAGCGAGTCAACCGACGGGATCATCGATCCTTCCACGGCACAGATCGGCCAGATCCATACCATCCAAGAGTCCTCGCGGTCCTCGTCCGAAGCAGACGACCTGGAGAGAGGCAGGGGAGCGAGGAGCGGGAAAATGGTCATCCACGTCAGCAAAGACGTGCGGGTCGAGGAGACGGGCAGGGGAAACGGCGGCCATCAAACGCTAGGTCGGTCGAGCCACTCCATACGTGCCACAACCAGGGCCGACTGTTGGAACGAGACGCAGACTGCTGGTAGCGAGAACCGACAGCATCGGGGGCGTCCATGATAATTGGTGGCACGAAGGCAGCGGGAATCCCTCCGTTACACCAAGGATGGGCTGTTTTCTGCATGTTTCTTTGCTTTTTCTTCTTCCTGTACCGTTTTAGCCCGATATCTTCCAGCCACTTAGACAGTGTTTGACTGGGTCTGAGGCAAAGAGAAGACCTCACCCAGTCCACTAATAATACTTAGAACAAATGAAAGACGAGGAAAAAAGAGTTTTCTTCGAGATCAACTCCACTTTTCCATGTATCCATCGGACCACGTCGAGGTAGTTCAGACCTCATCCCGAGATATGTCCCCTCTGCGCGCTTTCTTGGCCGCCACTCGCCCTCGCTAAGGGGGACTCATCCAGTATTCCCTGCGAGATGCCCACCAGTTCGCTCGCTGTGCTGCCTCAAGGCCAATCATGACGGTTCCCCCCTCTCTGGGAGCTCAGCCACCATTTCTTCCCCACCGCAGGATTTTCTTTCCCCTGATACAGGGCACTACTGGCCGAACGGGCCGGGCGGGCAAAGAAAGTTCCACATCTTTGTCAACGGTTTCTCAAACGGCCAACACCAGCCCCTGGAACCATCCAACAGTTCTCCACCGTGGGGATGCCATCAGCCACCCGGAACCTCCTAGCAATGATAAGTGTCTAGCCCTTCTCCCTAAAATGTTGCCTCGTGTCTTCTCCCAGCCAAGATCACGCTGTCCACGGGCTGTTAGATTTGTAGCTTACCTGCAGAGAAAACCGCTCGTCTACCACTCCTCGCTACCTCTAGATCCGCGTTTTCCCTAAGCCGATCAGGTTCGGTATTGCCCCTTGCGTTTGAACGAAACCGACAGTTGAGTGACTTTGGTGCAAAATCTTGCGTCCTTGTGATATCCATAGCACCCGCGGCAAGTCCATAAAAAAATCCAAATCGGTGTGGCATTTGTTAGTGTGAATGAGACTACGGCGTGCACCTCAATCAATGCACCGAGCCATTCATTCCCCATCATGCTTTGGCCGTGAGCAAGGTGGACGACTAGTTCCGTGCATGACATCCGAGCCTTCGGAAGCTTGGACTTGGATGCCGCCTATAGCTGCTCTCCCTCGATCAAAGTGAACATCATTGTGCTCTGTAGTTCTCAAGATTATTGCAAAGACGCTGTCAATGGTCACTGGGAGTTGCAAGCTGCAGGTCCTTATAAAACAGTATTCTAGCACCGTTCTCAACATACCCATGTAAATGTCAACATCGTCCATCTATGCCTAGCGCCTAGCCTCTCCCTGAAATATGTCTTTAATAATGCTTGAAATCCCGCCGTGCAACGCCGAAATCCAAATGCTTTGAACAAAAGAAAGACGAGGTGGTCTTAGCAAGAGCAGACCGTACAAATTTGGACATAGTAAGACAAGTTTATAAAAAATGTAGTTTGGCTGCTTGGTTTCAGTAGATTAATCGTCGTCGTCCCTCTCGCCCTCGAGGAAGATCTCATGGCCAGAGCCCTCATGCATTCCCAGGGCAGTAAGGCAGGCAACAGCGGACATTGCTGCAGTGAGCCACCAGCCCCAAGCCACCATGCCGATGTCAAGTCCAAAGCCATACCACCATCCGCCGACAACGGGGCCAACAGTACGGAAACCTGCTGAAACGGACTGGCCTAAGCCGTGGATCGTACCAAGCACACTTGGGTGGGGAGAGCAGTTGTTAAGGAGGATAATGCTGGCCGGAAGTGTGAATGTGCGGGCCGTGACCTGAAACAGCAGCACAATAATGATGCCTGACCAGATAAGGAAACCTGACGCTGGTTCAGGGGCTTGGGTCGCGGAAGGGAGTATCGCAATATATGGCGCAATGAAATAAGCCACGGGAAAGAGAGGAAGAAGCCATCGGAACGATCGAATTGTTCCCAGACGGGCTTGAACAGGGGGGTAGAGGAATATTTGAAGTACCATTCCCAGAACTCCTAGGATAGAAGTTGCCAGACCAACAGTAGATGCAGGCATCCCCAGACCACCCGTAAACAGGAGGGGAAGACTACGCTTCTCCGAGGGGGCTGTTTGAACGTCTGACGAAAGATATCGTGGGGTGGAGAGAAAGAGTGACCAAATGTTGGTAAATGCCCCCAGGTGAAAATCATAAAAGGCCCCCGTGAGCAAGGTGAAGACGACATTGCGTGTCCAGAGGCGGGTAAAAGGGAGCACTCTGGTTTCCTGTACTCGAACCGTCTTTTCCAAGAGCTCCTTTTGGTGGTCGGGTTCTATTGTACTCATCTGCACAGATGTGTCCTGCCAATCGTAGGCAATCTGGGAGTATCCATCGTGTGATCGAGATCGCGTTACGAAGGCTTTAAGCCGAGACCCCAAATGGAGGCCAATATCGAACTTCCCCTTGCGCTCCTTGGAGGTCTATCCCAACAATTAAGTCAGCAACACGATGCTGGGAGGGCTGTTGACCGGGGCGAAGATGGGGTTCAATTATACTTGCCTCTTCTAGAAAGAAAAACGTAATCAGGGTTGAAATAGTGAGCAACAAAGCATTGATAAGGCTGGGTAATGCAAAAGGATAAGCCTGAAGCCACTTGAAACCCAGGGGAGCATTCTCGCCGAATATTCCGGGAAGCGTCGTCTGGGGTTCAGCTAGGAGACCACCCATCACTAAGTTTTCACGTTAGCTTCAATATCAAGGCAATATCTTGAACAGAGACCAAGGTTTGACTTACCTGGACCAAGGATTCCTGCCACATTGAAACTCATGGGCAGAAGCAGAAACGCACGGGACTGATATTTCTTCTCCTTTGTGATTTCGGCAATCATGGTACGACTAAAGGGTCAAAAGCAAGTTAGCGGCAGTCCATAGGGCGATCCATTACCAAATATCCCAAAGTCTCACTCACATGATGCCAACAGTGCCGTTAATAGCACCCCCAAAAGCTCTCCAGAAAGCAGCCCAGAAAAATGTGGTGGCGAAGCCATATCCTAAGCAGCTAATAGCAGTTCCTCCGAGACCAATGACGAGAACCCATTTCCGTCCGCACCAGCTGGCGTCAGCAGCTTTACCCCAGAGGATCGCAGTCAAGACCTGTGCGCCAGTGAAGCAGCCCTGTAACAGGCCGGCCTGGCGAGAAACCTGAGTGCTGGATAATGAGCCATCAAACGACTTGAGCTGGTAGAAAACATAAGCCTGGAGGGATGCCACCTGGAGGAAATCGACCAGGCGACCGATAAACAAGATGAAGAGCTGATCTTTGCGAGGAAGTGACATCCAGGTCACTTGTCCTGTGGCATTTCCCTTGAAACTCGCTTTTGGCTTTTCGTCAATTGGCGAAAGCATTTTGAGTGGTCGTAGTGACTCGGTGTCGAGGGTTGGAGGGTTCAACATTGACGAAGAAGATGCAGACGAAGACTCGCCAATAAGACCCGGAGAGAGCGGCATTGTCGACGTCCTCGGAAAGGACTCTATCGTTGGTGCTCTTGGACTCGCTCTAGGACTGCTCCAGTTTCGGTCACCTGCCTGGCTTCGATGAGGCCTTCTAGGCTCAAGAGGCGGGGCAATGGCCCGATCATTGCTAAATGATCTGCTATGACCTGCCATTTTGAAGAATCAAAAGGTGTATTCACTCAGGCTCGAATCAAGGAGAACTTGGTTGGGTAGACCTCAGTGTCATGCGCCCCCGCGGCCACGCCAAAGATCGAAGAGTATACGCAAGTCAAACTCCTTCGGCGAGGCTGTTATTCTGGGGGGATGACGAACACCGATCCTTGCTGCAGATGCTGCAAAAATACGAGTTTTGTTGGCGTCCTGTCAAGGGTGGGGGTAAGCAAGCGTAGGACGACTCGGCTATAGCTGCACTGCCAGGATCAAGGATGAAAACGGGTGGTCAGCGTTGCGATGTTGCTGGCAACCAGATGAAAGAGTAATGGTGACAAAAGACCAATAAGGCGATTTGAGTGCCAGGTCTGAATGTGCTATTGCACCCAGAAGTCAAGTCCAAATAGATCGGATCTCACATACCCAAAATGGGCAAGTAATGGTATCTTGAAGGTTGTTTTAAAAAGCAGTAGGTGTGTTAGATGTTTTGAAAAGGTCCCTCCTTGGATAAGATGATAATCAAGCTTCTCAAGGGTGGGCCGAGTGGGCGAGGAGGGAGTGGAGTGGGAATTTGAGACGACGCGCACGCTCTCACTAGACCGATCTCACACTATTACTGTCGTGGCCATGGATATGGACATGTTGTAAGACTAAAAGAGTGCCAATCTTGATTTAGCAATACGAACTTCCTTCCAAAGCGGGTACTGTAATGCGGGATCAATATTGGGGCGAGGATGAGAGGGATGATGATGCCGTGTTCATGTAGATTTACGGCGTGGGTAGTTCAAATACATGATGCCAGCGGGTGGAGATGGTGCTGCTGAACACGTAACGACAACGAGGCACTCGTCTATCGAGGCTCAATGGACAGGGTTGGTGGGGAGGCGTGAACAGGGAACAGACGCGGAAGTAAATCAGGCGTGATGATGTTGAAGGGAATCAAAACGTATCACCGTACTTACCGTGCTTCCGGGACTTGTGGAAAGAAAAAGTTCCGTTTGAGAAAGATGGAGTCAACTGGAAAGAATGAAACCTGCTTCAGATTTCTCGGTCCGTGGGTACCAATGGCCAGTTTAGGAGAGAACGGAGGGTAGGGCGACAGATCAGAAGGATAGCTGGCAGAGGTGAACTCCAAAGTCCCTTCTACTTTACAGGCAGGAGGTCAAAAGCCGTCTACCGGAACAGGCATGAAGAAGAAGACGACTCTGGAAGAAATGGTCCTGTTGCGCAGGGGTCAAGGAACCCCATCCCATGGCGAGACGAAGAAGCTGGTGTATAAAGTTGGGTGGAGAAAATAACGATATTCCACCCGACAGCACAGTACTTTGGACGTTGCAGGCATTAGACCTCCCCAGTAGGTATCTGCTCTACTGGTAACACTGTCGGGTGTCTTTGGAGATTAATCGGTGATATGCATGTACGTTCGTTCCTGCCAATCTCTGATGTGCTCAACTGACATGAAGAAGACCCTCCTGCCTGGACAATGTGGTCGGACTTTCCCAGCTGGGTAGGCATATCGACAAATGTAAGGCACCACCTGCACAATTGGGAAAGGCCTAGGAGCTTTCGATCGACCAGTGACGGGCCGAGCAGAGCAAATGGAAGTGCCAGGCGACAATCACTTCAATGTTTGGGAGTCTAAGGGAATTGAGAGGCCTGTGGTGCTTCAGGCATGTCGCAGGATGGTGTCGGCCCCCTGCTACAACAGGCAGAGCGCCGGCAGATGGGGCGGATCTCGGGTCGTCGGCGGCTCACCAGCCCTCACTCTCCACATCCTGCACCCAAGGGGACGGATATCGGCCGCGGCAGGCAGGGAAGAGAGCCGCCCGAGACGCTGTCGAGAGCGATCATCATTAACAACCCAGAACACAGTATAATGATGCAGGACATCGATGGCAGGCGCATCCACACCTGGCGGGAGCTACAGTAGCTTACAGCTAGCTTACGTGGCTTGGCTGTGCTAGTGCAGCCGTCTATATTCCAGATAAGCTTCTTCCACCAACTTCGCTGCCTCAACACGTCATGTCTCTGGCGAGTGTGGTCGATTTGACGCAGCCCTTGACGAAGAGGCACCCCATTGCTCGAGCGTTTGCCCTAGTCTTGAACAGCCCGAAACCGCGCACAGTCCACCTCTCATCGTGCTGCTTTGTTGAAGCCCTGATCTGGCATCTGCAGGTCCCGGGCTTGGCAATGCTTAGCTGTCCTTGGCACTGTCGAACCCACACCATGGATCTTCAGGGGCTTGGCTTCAAACAGCTCCAGGTCTATCTTTCATGGGAAAACAAGCATACACATAACCATTCGCTACAGGTAAGTTTAATATCTTAATCAACAAGCATGCTTCACCGTCCCGACTCGCTGCAGGGCCCCTCCCTCCCTTCACCCCCTTCCACTAGGAAATTGAAGCCAGCAAGTCGTCAGCTCCAATGCAACGAGGTGGACCATCGTGGACCGACCATGAAATCCATCTATCCACTCCGGAGAGGCTCAGCCCAGACAACGTCATGCCTCGTGAAACACAGCAGCCGGCAACACGGACTTCCATGGTCCGGCCTCACGTTGCACAGGCAGAATGCCCCGTTCTTGCGTCCCAGAGGCCAGGATCGTCAAACGCCGGCTGGTGATCGATTCCGTCTGAATGTATGGATTGGGTAGTAGGAGACCTGGCCACCTGCAAGATATGTCATACCAAGCGCCCGAGCGAGCGAATCTATCCACCGTCGCGTGGAGCCTCCGCCCCCCATTCGACGATGGATGGAGCAAGGACGGAAAATTAACTGTCTAGAAGAGGAAATCGAGCGAACGCATATCGCGCTTCCAGAGACAGGCTTGGTGGGTTAGGCCAGGAGCCGGACGTGCATCACAATTCTCAAAACCTTTCGGCGGCAAAAACAATTAGCGCTCGCTTTGGGAACAGAATTTTGGCATTGATCTTGGGAGCCTTAGTTGAAAACTACCAGTAAGTCTTACTGGACCTCTAAATCCGTCCACACTGAAATCTCCATTCCCTAAGCAGGGGCCGCGCGGCATCAAAGTGAGCCGGGCTGGCCCTCTGTCCATCCATATCCTACGCACACACAGCACAGCAACCGATCAGACCACCAATTGGCACAGATGAGAAACCCCAGGAAAACCCATGCTGGTCTGGGGGAGGGAAAGAGCAGAGAGCCCTGCCATCACCATCAACCATTGGTCGTGGGCATCGTCAACTCCCTCGACTCATCCGCTGCAAGGCCGGGCCAGTCGGATCAAAGAAGGCCGTGGTGGCATCCACGATTGATAACCTACCCACCGTGCGCCACCGCCGTCTAAGTGAGCTTCATGGCTCATCCCCGAGGCATCGTGTGGAGCCGGGAGACTGAAACTTGCTTGGGGTCTGTTTAGCATACTATCACCGGCCCCGGTTTTGGCAGAGTCATGCTGCATCTGGCCTTGTAGCTATCCCCATCATGGTACCCTGCTCATCCTTGCTGGAGGTGGGTGCGGCCCTTTTTTCATTCTCTGCCCATCCAATAGCTCATCTCTTCGTTTCTGCAGCGTGTTTTGTATCGCTCTGCATCGTAGTACATTCGTGAAGTACCTCCCTTCCACGGTCGTGGGCTCGAGCATGCAGTAACAGGCTAGGAGTAGACCCCCTCGTAACTTTGAGCCGTGGCTAGTTAAGTCTACTCCATGTTGCGACGTAGTACATACGTACGTAACGCGCGGATGAAATGTAGGTGTGGTGTGAGTCTACTATGCGGATCTTTCTTGCTCGCCTTCCATGCTCTTGCTTCCAGATAGGAGGTCGGTTGCCCACTGAGCATCCTGACTTGTGGTAGGCAAGGTACTTAGATATAGACCTCTCCATCCGCTCCTTCCCCCTGAGCTCCTCCTCCCTTTTACTCTTCCCTTATCATCATCATCTTTGCCACTGTCGCTTCTGCCACTCTCATCGTTCTCTTTCTTCTGCCTGATCAGCTTAGCTGTCCGACTTATAGACTCCTTCTCCTGTAACACACCCGGCTTCTCGCTTAGAGCCCTCTACATTCTTGCTCTTCTTTTACTCTTCTTTTCTTGATACCCAGACATTACCGAAACCATGATCCAATCCACCCAGTACAAGCCTCGTCCCATCACGGACATATTCACCAACGACACCGACATCGACCGTCGAACATGCAGCCGCAAGGTCCCCATGAAGGTCCTTATCCTCGGCCTGGGCCGTACCGGCACAGCCTGTAAGCACCGTTCCATTGTGTTCATCCTGAGAGCCCGGCCTCAATTCCTTTCTGCCAACCCATGCTAACCCCACGGTCCGCTCTCCAGCCATGCGCGCCGCCATGAAACAGCTCGGCTATGTGGACACCTACCATATGATGAACTGCTCCATCGAGAACCCTCCAGATGCCCTCATGTGGATGGACGCCCTTACTGCCAAGTATGACGGCAAGGGCAAGCCCTTCACCCGTGAGGACTGGGACAAGCTATTGGGCAATGCCCAGGCCGTTTGTGACTGGCCCGCCATCGCCTTCGCCAAGGAACTCATCGAAGCGTATCCGGAAGCCAAGGTCGTGCTCACCAACCGCGAGGTTCACTCCTGGCACGCATCCACAATGAAGACGGTGTATTGGCGCGTCACCGATCCCGAGCTGCGTTGGTTGTCCAACTTCGATTGGGCTGCCAGCATGTACTATCCAATGCTCAAGAAGTTCTTCGACACTTTCTTCGAGGGCGACTTCCCCAACAAGGGCAAGGAGGTCTTCCAGAAACATTATGCTCAGGTCCGCAGCCTTGTTCCCAAGGATCGTCTCCTTGAGTACCGCGTCCAGGACGGCTGGGAGCCACTGTGCAAGTTCCTTGACCAACCCATCCCCAAGGAATGCCCTTTCCCCAATGTCAACGACAACTCGGACTTTGTGACACGCTCGCGCCGCCGAAACAGAAACCAAATGTACAATTGCGCTCTGCGTTATCTCCTCAACACCGCGCTCTTCGTGGTTGCATTCCTTTTCCTCTACCGGCTCGCCGCCAGCATGGGTCTTGTTAAATCCCGTGCTGCTTCATACACCCTAGACTTCTCAGCGATCCAGGCATTGTTGGATCAGCAATCTTAGATGGATTCTCATAATTCGATGGATTCCCATAATGCTTCAGGTGCATTAGACTAGACTTTTCGTCGGTGGTTGATTTCTCGGAAGTGTTCGTGCCATCGGTTGGTGATTGATTTTTATCCGGCCATCAATCTCGCCCGGAGCCAAGGGACTTCCTCGACAGACAACGGTTGCCTTTGATGGATATAAAAGGTTATGACGGCGTTGGGGTGTTTTCTCTCTTTTATGTTTCTTCTCTGAAATCCAGAGGACCTTTCAGAGCCAAATTGTACAGAAGTTTATCCAAGTGATAACATGTTGAGGGATCAATATCAATTCATTCAAGAATATTCATAATGTTCTCAAAGATATGCTGTCGTCGTAGGTTGTTAGCCAGATTCAAGGAACGTGAGATGATGTGGTGCAAAACTCGAAAGAAATATCGGAAAGTAATCGTTCTACAAAGAAATCCAACTATAAAAGCACAAGTAATCTTGTCTATGGAAAAGAGCCCAGTATGCCCAGTTAGAGAGGTGAGAGAGCAGCGGTTACAAGACTCACGTGTTGGTGGAATACGTTCTACTTCCTAACAATCAGATAGATGACGCGATTCAGATGAGGATAATAGGCTTTGACTTGACACATAAAAGAGGACTAGAGGATCATAGATGTGGTAGGAGGTATAAGGATAGACCCAACAGCGGTAACACTAAGGCTGGAGCTCCCTGTGGCAGGTGCCCGTCTACCGAGATGTGCTAATTATCCTCAGCACTATCACGACAAGATGAAGAAGGCCCAATGTCCAAGACCAAACTGTAGCTGACTCCAAAGACGAAATCACGGTTCAAAGGAACATGTAATCAATATACTTTCGGGAATATTTCGTTAATTTTGTCGTGGAAGACTCTGTTCTTGAAGGCTCATACCCCGCAGTAGCTATGCATCAGCCTTCATTCTCCTCCGGCTTTATACACAACTACAAGTCATACAATCCTACGATCTAGAGAACCTCTTTTTTACCGCTGAGTTTACATGGAGATCTCGGGCGTTTTAAGTTCGTTACGAGAACTTGCACAGACCTGGCTTACACAGATCTACACCAGCCTTTTTGCGTAGTCGCCTCCTTTTGCGGGCTCGGTCACGACACAATAGATAATATTGCTCTCAAAAGCAAGGTAGATAATATCGAAGCTATACCCAAAGCCATTCCATACACTGCCCTCGGACAGGCAATCCTCGTCGTGGAACCGGCCTCTCCAAGACATTTCTCCCCTTCTTCTGCTCCGAATCGGATCCAATTACCAAGACAAACTCGCCGTATGGGTTCGTAAATTCTTTCTCTGTAGCGCCATAGTGTTATCACTTTTTCGTATATTCGTTCGCTTGCAAGCAATTCTGCTATCACTGAGATTGCGGCCTGGACTGCAAGTGCGATTTTGACCGCAGACCGACCTCGATATGCACAGGCTCCTGGTCCATCATTGTGGATTTGCGGTATGCCGCGTTCACATGGTGGATGTTATGTAGAATCCGTATCCCTCAAAAGGAGAAGTGGCTCATTGCCAGCTCTATGAGTCTTGGTGTCTTTGCCGGAGCTCGTGGCATCGAGCAGGCCATCGAGCTCACCAAGCTGGGAAGCCCAAAGATGTTGTCGGAATTTCTATCTGGCATGCGGAGGTTTTCTGCCACCATAGCATGCATAGGTATACCTGTCTTCAGGCCATTATCACAGACCTAGATAAAGGGGCTGGGATCATCGAGGCGTACTGTCGAAGATGACGAAGTAATCCTACGGAGAGAAGCCTCAACAGCCAACAATCAGAATACCAAATACGCAAACCCATCAAGATCACACAATTTCAATCAAAGCGAGGAGTCTACCCCAGAGGAGAACTATCGTAGGGAGCATCAAGGGAACCATTTTAGGGGTTAACTGTCCAAAGGAAGCTGTATATTGAGGAACATAGAATGGAAGCCATGCATCATGAACCAGCCTCATACGAATGGCAGGTAAGAATACAAGGCGGTTCAGATAAACCAAAAAATTCCCATCCATCCATCATTCATTTATCAGCTTTTAGTCCAAATAGGTGTTTCAGTGTCTCCCGAAAGTGGCAGAGGAATAGGCAGTGTTCACAACTATCCCCTACATAATTGAACAGAAGTCTACAACCAAAGCGAAATCCAGTCCTCTAGGCAAACAAAACAAATCCCGTCCTACGTCCGCTAAATCAGCCAAAATTCTTGATTCAGACATATGACCACATGTCCATCTCCCTGACTTAGACACGCCACAGTGACATCGCATGTCCCGGAGACCCGTGTCATGCCATTGTCCTGATCGGCCGGCTCCGATGAGACCTACTTGGCGATTGCCTCGGGCCGGCCTGGGATCAAACACACAAGTCTCGGGGCGCCTCCGGGGATTGCGCAAACAAGAGTCATTGAATTGAGTTTGAATAGTACGTTTGTAAGTCAGCGAGGCGAAGGGGCTTGCTGATCTATCAATCATCACATATCTCTTCCAACCTACCTTAAGTCCGATAAGGAGGGGGCGTGTGGTCCAAAATCGAAGATTCAAACGAAAGCACCAGAAGCACGTATTGATTGTGCTAGTTTAGCCACAACAGAACAAGAGAGGAATTGTGACGAACCCTACAAGTTTCGCGGCAACATGTAGGTTCCAAGTCGCATGTCTTGCGAGTAACGCCGTTCCCGTTCATAGTTCAGAACTCTAACTCTGAGCCACGAGAGCGGAGGCGCTCGCCGTGCATAGTCGGTTCCGCAGGTTTGAGTTAACGCCGTTCTCGCTGGAATCCTCAGCAGAGTTTAATCGCTTCCGCCCACGGAACGGAGCCGGCCGATTGTGTTTCTTATCTAAATAGGTTGCAGGAAAGATTAGTTGGAGAAGACGACCCTCAACTCTAGCTTCATGCTGATGAATCAGGGCCCAGCAGCTCCAGCATAGAGTTTAGCCATCGACGTAGCCACCATATCTAAAATGTAGCTGGCCGCGTCTGGTTGGACCCCGTTTAGGGTCCGGGGGTGGGGGATTGGCTGTTGGCTTCCGAGACTCCTGAAGCCACCGCTAGCAGTAGCCTTGGGGATGATGCCCTCTCACATGGCCATTACCAATCCAGCGGGCATGCTTCACACGCTGCTGCTACTGCTGCTGCCGCTCACCCAACCCAGCTACAAAGGTCACCAGCTACCCATTCTAGCAAGGCCATGTCACTACGGGGCGCCTTAGTTCTCGGGGAGATGCTCGCAGCTTCCCACGGGTGCTAGGTTAGTGCACTCTACGGTAAGCGAGCGAGGATGAAGGTGGTGGGATGGAGGGGAAGAGAGAGGGGCTGGGCTGGAGCTGAGCAGCCATTCGCTCAGCCAGGCCGCTCTCGATTGGATTCTGACTTTACCGGTCGTCGCACTTCTGCAGCACTTGTGAGCCCCGGTGAGGGGCAAGGCGTGAGGATGACGGTGATACCATCCTCGTTAGTCCAGCTCCCAAGTGTAGCAGCCTGCATGAGCTTTCCTAGGAGGCGCGGGCCCCCGTGTGAGACGGTGTGCGTGTGTCTGGATGAGTCTAGCTGCATACAACAACAAGAATCCAATGAGCTGTATCTCCGTCGTCACAATCACCGTCGCCGTCGCCGCCCGGCTTGGTGGGGATAATCGTACATGTCGCATGCATGAACAATGGCGAGGGTTTGTGCTGTCCCTTCACCGCTCCTCAAGCAAGACGGCAAGGGAAAGGAAAGCCCATAGACTCTGTGTGCTGATTCGACCACTGTGCCATGCTCGGCCGCATCACGTCGGCACCACCATAGGCGAGTGGCTGGCTGCACAGCCAGCTTGGTGCCAGTTAGGATCAGCGCAAGCGGCGCCGGATTGCTTATCCTGCAGATGCAATCAGCAAAGCAACCCCTCACCTATCGCCCCAATCATCGTCGTGCACATGAGTCGTGGGTGATGGGGAAGCCCGGAAGCCCCTCACTGGCTGTCCCTTATGCAAGCCATCGAATGTTACGGCCCATTGGGGGAAAAGGTGTGTGTGGAGGCTTGAGTGAAGGGGTCTGTGATGCGTCGTCACCGTCTTTGTCTGTGTCCGCGGGAGGGGAGACGAGAAAGAGAGAGAGGCATGTTCGCTCTCCGGTCAGATCATATCACGTCAATCACGTAGCAGTAGACAAGGAAGTTGGTGTGGGTGTGGTCCTCCAAGTGAGGACCAATGCTCTTTGAGTCTCATTTTAGCTGCGAAAGACTGTCGTCCTTGCGCTTCATCCTAGCTATGGGCACCCGAGCCCGTCAATGTCTAATCTCTTGTTGAAGCTTTTTGCTTCGAATAGGAAAGAGAAGAAAAAAGCTACAGTGTTTCCCGTATTTCACCCAAAAAAAATAACAAAGACTTCCATTCTGTCACCCCAAAAAATGAATTTGAAGGCACAAGTCGACAGAAGGTAAAAAAACCACTCCCCAATATCATAAGGGTGAGCGTGCTTGACAAAGACTTTCCCTGCCTGTCTCCCCTCTATTGGGGCAGAAGCAAACACCTGAAAAATCCAACTCCAAAACCTTTCCGCAAATAATTAAGTATGTTTTTTGAAATTGGCTTATCTTTTCACATCATAAAAAGTCCGTATCGTATCCAAAGCGGAAACTCAGCAATCCACCTCTTTTGCGCCGATGTTTTTCAATGCTCGCTTCGTAATATCAAGACAAATCCCTCGGTGCATTGCTTGAATTTTTTTCTCCTCGTTAGGAGAACTTCTCACTCAAAATAATAATAAAAATGAAAATCTCAAAAGATTGTAATGGGTCATTTCAAAGAATGAAAAACTCCAGTGGTCCGAAAGGGTATCCCAGGGCCGGTCATAGTGTAGCGTTTGATTGGTACGAAATAAAATTTTGCAAGTCGAAGCAGAAAAGGTCGTGTGCATCGAGACTGTCAAGTCTCGATCGATCTGCAAGTATCCACGGGGTCGGGAATAAAGGCATTAAAACGTGCTATGTGCAAAGAGTAGCTTGCCATCAAGGCGCATGGTGGTGGTTGCTATGGCGTTGTAATCAGAAGCAGCCCTGGAAGGAGGGCATGACAGGCACCTGATGATGAAAGACGCCAGAGTGTTGTACCAGTGGCACCTGTTGAACGTATTTGACAACGTCCCATAGAGGGCAGTATGTCTTGGGAGGGGCGCATGGCGCCTGAATGTGGATGGGTTGCGGGCAGTGAATGGGCTGTGCCTGTTGTGGGATAGGCATGGGCCCAGTGTAGTGCTGGGGAACAAACTCCTGACCTAGGTAGACCGGGAGATCCTTGGCGACTACCGGTTCGTAGGTGTATGGCGCACAGTCAGGTGAGACGCCTCTTTGTTCCCGGATGAAGTCCTCATCGAGGTCGTCAATGGTCGATCCGCTGGATGTCAATGAGCCTTCATCAGAAAAGGTCGAGACGGGAGACAGTGGTGAGCCATTGGCGTAGTCATCAACGATGGCATCCTCGGGAGGAGTAACGTATTGAGTGATGAGATGTTCGGGGGTAGCAGGGGGTGATGGAGGGGCGACGACAGTAGCCGTTGGGGAAACAGTCAACTTGGGGCAAGCCTTGATCCTTTCCCGGAGTTCTGGGAGTGTGATCCGGTTCTCGGGGTTGGGGTTGAAGATGCAGCCCAGGATGTTGTTCAACTCATCCGTCACAGGGAGGATTGTCTTGAGGAACTCCTGGGAGCGAGTGAACGCCCGGTAGGTCGAATCTTGGTAAGAAGCCTGCTTCCAAGGGTTTCGTCCGCAAGTCAGATTGGTAAGCACCACGCCCAGACTCCAAACATCGTTGGGGGCACACATGTAGTAGGGCCTCCTTGCTGATGGGTCCAAGCATTCTGTAACCATGTTAGTAAAGGTTCGCAACGGCGGTGGGGAGGGTTGCCGGAGGGAGGGAAGTATGCAAGTAAATACCTGGACTCATGTAGAAGGTTGAACCGCAGCCGTAATCTTCTGATCGGTCTTCTGATGTGGCCAATCCAAAGTCGGCCAGCTTGACGGTGTCACCGCCATCCGTAACCAGGATGTTCTCCGGCTTGAGATCCCGGTGGTAGATTCCAAGGTTGTGACAGTGTTCCACGGCATCCAGGATCTGGAGGAAGACCTTCTTGGCAAGTTCGTCGTTACCGACGTACTGGCCACGCTCAGTAATGTTGAGAAACAGGTCGCCCTCCGGGCAGTACTCCAGGATAACGTAGATGCATGCGGCGTCGTCTACAATCTTGTGCATGGACACTACATTTGAGTGAGCAGACGCAAGATAGTGAAGACGAATCTCTCGTTGCTGGTAGGCTACTTGGCGACGTTCCAAGGGAGTTCCATCGGCATTGAACTTGCTCAAACACTTGACAGCATAGCGAACGCCGGTGTTGATATCCACTGCTGTGTATACAACACCGTACGCGCCAGTGCCTAGAATGTTGGTGAGATGGAGCTTTCCTTCCAGTAGCATGCCTAACCTTTCCTCGGGGGCCATGGGAACATATCGGATGGGCCTCACATAGGGTTGTTGCTGGATGTGGCCCTTCTGGTTGTCGTAGCCCGGCGATGCGGGTGGTGTAGGGTAGCCGAAGGTGGCATGGTGATGCATGGTCCTTTGCTTGGGTTGAGGGCGGATCCTTAAAACGGGTCGTGATAATCCTTGGGGAGTACAATGGGCCAACCGCAAACAGGAAACTCAGGCGCAATTAAAGGCAAGACAATTGAAATACAATAGCAAATAAATCTGCGAATAGAAGGGTGAGTTTGTTTGAAGTCAGGGTCAATCCAGATACCAACGGGGCGCAGCTCCGGTAGGAAGTCGACTGAACGGGGTTAAATCCCGGGTCGCAAACTGGAAGTCCTCAACGCCGAGTCAACGGGTCATGGAGGCAGTTGTGCTGGAGGTCGCCACGGGATAAAATTAACAGAGGCGATGGAAGAGCGTTGGTCCTGGGGTGAAAGGGTCCAGAGTCGCCAGAGAGTAAAAGGCCTTGGAAGAGGAGAGGGGCCTTGGGATTGTTCAAGTTGAGATAGAGTATGAAGGAGTGTCGTGAAAGGTGGTTGCAGATAGTAGAGGTCGCAGCAATAGATAGTATACGCTGGCTGCTGAGGTGGGCGGCGGGACTAGATAAAAGACGCTGAAAGCCACTGGCCAACAAAAGAGCGAGGCGGATGGCAAGCTGGCTCTTTTGACCAATCCCTGCCAACAATATGCCCTACAAGCACCTCGTACCGACACAGACCGTCGCACTTCCGCCTGGAATTGCGTGGAGGCATCCATCCTCTCCACACCCTCAGGGGGGCCCACCCAGGATGATTATTATACCACCCCCTCGAGTCTAGCGCCGAAGAGGCTAAGATTAATAGGACATGGGGCGATGTCTTGGCTCCCAAAGCGGGTCGCTGGCAACGCAGCTATTCTTGACGGCAGCCGTCGCGGTGGGGACAAGGATGGGCTGCCTGGCTGGAGACTAGCAGCCAGGACACCCTGGCAGTAACGCGGCGCCATACGAGAACCGAGCAGGGATTGTCTGACACACAAAATAGCAGTAAAGTGGTTCGTTGTATGCGTGTGAGTGTGTGTGCCCGCGCATGTGTTGTGTGTCACCGTCTCCGCTTGTGGATGGACCAGCCAGGCCGTGAGTGGCCCAGCCTATCTTGGTCCTCCATCTCTGTTGTCCTGCCTCTGACTAGTAGCTGCTAGCCATGTCTGTTGCTGATGCTCGCTGCACCACAGCTGCCGCTATCATCTCCTTGGACGGGGCCAGCATCAGGTTTTGGCGCCAGCCAAGCCTCTTCCCATCCTGCTTCGCCCACTCACGGTGTCGACGGTGGGCGATCCCCAAGACATGGGGCGATGGGATGCTGAGCACGGCGACGGCATGAGTGGGTCATCCACCTATCGTGTTGGGCAGTGCGTGAAGGGGGGAGGGGCCTCGTGATTGCGAGTAGATTTTCTTTTTTTTTTGGGTTGGATCATTCCCTTGCCTGCCCGGGCCGTTTTTGCTTTTTTTTTTTTCACTGCCTGTCGAACGACTGTTAGACCCCGTGGCTGCCGCCTCAACTTGACACAATGTGCAGTCTCACTTATTAGGCAGGCGGACGAAATGATGAGATCCTCCAGCCTCATTCTCACAAGGCATGTTTTTTCATGTTTGCCCATTGTGTCCATGTTCCTGCCGTAATTACAAGCAAGTTGAACCGTCCCACATGTGGGTACATGCATACATAGACTTTGCTCCAGAATCTCCGTGTAGGATCTGGAATTCTTTCTCGTAGCGCCCGTTGGATGGACTGTGACCCAGCGTCATTGGCTTCCTGTGGCAGCCCGCTGGCGTTGTTTGTTATTCCTCTCCTCTCGTGCGTCGGAATGCATGGGACGTATGTATGAGCTGGAGCCACCATTGTTGATGGATCACCCACCGCCTTCCCACTCACATACATGTGCGGGCGACTCGATTGGATGATTGGAGGGATAGATGGCACTGTTGAGGTCGCTGTCGCCTACAAACCTGTCGCCTGCATAAACAAGTGCTGCACACTGTGCCCAAAGAGTCGACGAGTGGCCTCCGCCGATGCAGCAACCACTTGTTCTCCAGGCGAGCAGCGTGCAGATCCCTTCCACGGCCACTGCAGGGCCACAGTATCGATGCGGTGCATTCCGTACTTTGCAAAATGTGCATAACTCAGTTGCACTACTGGATTGGGTGCTGTGCCTCTGAAACACAACAGGCCTAGGCCGCCCTCCAGAGCTTCTCATTCCGTCGCCACTCGACGGCTGACGCACCTGGGTGGCTGGAATTATGCAGCATTTTGCGGGTTATGACAGCCTCTAGCGTGCATTACATTACATTGGGCATGAGCCAAGGACGAGGATCCACCAGCAAACAGAGTTTTAGCCCGTCGACACAGCATGCCGAATGAGAAGACTCGCCTCAGTTGTGGGTGTGATATCGATCTGCCACGCCGGCTCGGCCGGAATGGTTGCGTGAATGACCATCTAAGATTTCGCTGGTGTGTTTGGGGTAGGGACGGCGGCAAGGTGTAATCGAAATGATGCGCGAGCCAAAGGGAATGGCCGAGTTTCGAGCCATGCACCAAGAACCAGCTTGGGACCGAAGCAGCATCGGCAGCCCACAGCACCTGTACTGCTATTCGTTGGCCAGTTGAGGGCTGCTCATGATGGCGGTGCCATGGTGCTTCGCTCTCCCACTCAGCAGCTTCAACGTGGTCAGTCATCTGCACTTGCAGGGTCCTCGCCTCGTCGGCTGCCGACCAAGACATCCTAAAAGAGAGGGCTGCAGCCCGTCTGTGTCGTGTGATTGGCACCACGGCCCCAGCGCTTTTCGTCACTCCATACTGCACAATAATATTGGGTGGTATGTGCTTTCAAGGTCTGTCGCTGTTTATCGATCGAATCCCTGCCAGGTGGTCAGGGACCCAGTGGCCTCGACCACTCACAGGCCTCAACGCAAAGTGCAACATGGTTCCGACGAACGGTTGCGAAAAGAGTGAGGCTGCGAGGGATGCACCATGCAGTCCACGCAGTGAGACGGCGTCCAATCGACAACCCATGGCAGGCAAGAGGGCCGATCACTTGCTCATCTTGAATTTTATCGAGTGAGTTGTCTGCTGGATGCCGCCAGACCTGTCCTCGGCCGACTGCCCAGCTTACGGCCAGTGTTGTGCCAGTGTAGTGCATGTCTGTGAGGTAGCGTGATGATAGTGATGCAGCATGCCGCAACCCCCTCGCTCGCCCTATCATACGTACATTCACATCCAACACACGAGAGCAAGCACCCGTCAAGCAGGTGTCTCTGCTCTTGCCCGGCTTCCTGCCCACCTAGGTCGGGATCAGGGTCCTTCCCATTTTAGATCGGCTTTGGTCTGAGACCTTCCCAGCAGGTCCGTCAGGTATCACATCACTCCGTAGCAGGCCGTTCCCTCAATAAACCGGGCCACCCTGCGACGCCTGAGAGGGAGACATGTTTCATCGCCAGGGCGAAAGGAACGCATTGACTTTGGGGGGAAAGGCGGTCTGCCAGGGTAAATCTCACGCTCACATCCAGCGTACAGATCTGCCAGGCCTTCCAAGAAACATGATGCAAGAGTGTGGATGTGAATGTGGGACACGGGCGCGTGCGGGGCCTTCTGGCTGCCTCAGGCCACCACCCTCCTGACTGCCTGCACTTTGGGTCGCATCACTGCTGGCCGGTCCCCTGCAACCTGCCGCCTGCAACCTTCAACTGGGTACACCTGCACAGCGCTGCGCTTCACTGCACTCCAGGGCAGGGCGGGCAGCCAACGGCGTGTCCTAGCGGGCACCCTGGCGCTCCGTACCGAGTGCGCTTCGCCCAGAGGCTTACTGCAACCGAACTAGCCCTGGTTCAGCAAATTGCCCGGCCATTACCGCTAGCATTCGAGCCAGATCATCCATCCGCCCCGGCGCACCTTTGTGCTTGCCCTACGAGCACATCTGTGCCGGCATGGGATTGGTTCCTGATGCAGCTGGAGTGTTGCAGCACATGGGTCCAGCCGGTAGCTAGGCGTTGTCAACAATCCACCGTCTTCCGTCCCAATGCGACGTCGTGTTCGGCGCTGCCAGCCTACTACCCTAGAGGCCCTTCTACATACACTAGGTGTGAAACATGCATGAAATGGCTGTGTATTGGTGGTAAGAGTGAGTCACGGATGACTGAATGGCACGTGAATAACATTTGAATGCACGTACGCGCCGAGTGTGCCTTTTTTGGTGTTGTATTGTATTGCTGATCTGTCTCTCTGGTGCTGGGTCATTGTTGCATGTAAGCATCCATTCGTTGGTATCAACGGTCAACCACGTATGAGACTGCCACTGATCTCCCGCCGAGACGCTGCAAATTGGAGAGGCCCACTCTGGCTCAGAGCAATCAAACCAGCGGACGACGTCATGTCAGCCGATCCCTGCGATGGGAAGCTCTGATCGATGAGGCACGGATGGGGGACCTTCAGCTAGTGTTCGATAGTCGGTCGCAGGTTTTCGTAGACTCGCCATGGGTGTTTTATTGGTGCACCAGTCCAGGCCCCACCCACACGCGTCTCCCACGGCACTTTGGAGCACGGAGGAGAGCAGCAGGTAATCATCTGGGCTAGCACGAGATGGTTTGAGTTCCAGCCCAGCATGCTCCTGAAACTATTGCGGCAGCGGCGCTCTCACTTGGGTGTTTATGGAGAAGCGCTGGGCACTACCGTTCCCACTCATCAAGCAACGGCCATCCTTGGCCCTGGCTATCCTCAATCTCCTCTCAAGTTTGATCGCCAGCTCTAGCTCGGCTTGCTCGTGAACAGAGATTAATCGACATGGGACTGGTTGTGATAGCATCTTGCCCTAGATTAACCGGACGGGTGAAAGCAGGGCTGGTCTCACACATCCCATCTCGCCTCATCGAAATCGAGAAATCATACACGGTGGCGGGTGCACCCATACCTCCAAGGTAGGGCATAACATAACACCTTTGGGTTACCTAGCGATGAGCCTACTCCTCCCGCCTTCTCGAACTGGCCCTGGAAGGAGGGCGGCTTTGGCTGGTGATTCGATGCTCGTGCTCTGGATCCCGCTGTCCGTGCAGCGCGCATCATCAACGTCAACCACGGCCAATGGGATGCGCGGTGCCCGCCAAAGGACCTCCTCCATCCTCAGCCAGTGGTGATCACCTTCCTCGTGCCTCTGGCCACTCACACGCGGCCTAGGGTGCTTCTTCCAGCCTCCCCGGCCCTCCCTTACGTTCTTCCCACACTCACCGTCATGTCTCGACTTTAACAGGGAATTTATCGATAGATGAACTAGACACATGGCACACCTGGTGTTTCGGACAAGCCCATTCCAGCCATGCAGTGATTTATGCACTGACATAGTGGTGTGCGGTGCGTTTATTCCACACACTATCAGTAGGATTACAACGGGCAATGTGACCCCGTGGGAAATGAGGATCTCGCTTCATCGATCATTTTGCGGCGCGTGCGCGCGCATCACCAAAGGAAGCAATCGCAGTCATGGATGTTTATGCCGAAGTGCCTTCTCGGGTAGATTGATGCGGTGATATAATTGGCAAGCCAGAAGCGCCCTCACCTGTAACATGGATGACTGCGACTTTTTGTCACAAGTACGACATTCAATACATGATGACTAACTGTATGGTTCTGGTCAGACTGCCTGTAATAGGTGTGGACGACTAATTCAAGGTAGTATTCATATATGCATATCCGGATTCTAGATGCCCATCGACTCTCGCTGAGTCGTTGGCAAAGGAGCAATAGGATAAATTCTCCTGATGCTACGGCACGCTGGGTCTACGCATGGTTCTTGATCCCACGTCCATTTGTCATTGTACATCTGTCATGGATCGTGTCTTGTAACGCGATCCGGTTGTCTGACCGCATGCATGTCTATCGACCGGTTGTGACCATAGGGCGGGCTCACCATCTTGGGCAATAGTCTCCGTGTAGAGGACCAGATGCATATTGTCTCGGATGATGGCAGCCAGACAATCGTATTCGGTTCATAATTCAAGTAATATCAGGGCCGCCTTGGCCATGTGCATGCAGTCACACTCATGCTCTCAGTCAGCTAACTAATAAATACATGTGTGATAGCGGTTCGCCTGGCAGAACGCCCCTTGGGACGCCATCTGAGTGTGATTTATGCGCATCCCCCCACACACGGAGATGAGGGAGCGGCGGACGCAGAGCCCGTATGCCTACTGTGTGCTCAGGCCGACGGGTGGGAAGAAACGTAGCCTGTCCCGGCCTGGCCTGACGTTGCCACGGCGAGCATCATATCATGCCACATGGGGCAAGCGAGGTCGCCCTGCGATAATAGTCACACATGCAAGAATTACCAGTCATACTCAGCAACCGGCTGGCAGGCGAAAAAAAAACCAAGCAACTCTCGTGACTGGTCATCCGCAACGGCGAGTCAATGGGAATGCGGCCGTAGCTGCCGCGCCCACGGGAGCAGCAAAATCCTCCTCGATTTGCCTCCCTGCTCCCCGCGCCCCACGCCTCATTGTTCGTTCTCGACCTGGAACATTCGGCCAGTGCTTCCTCCAGGCTCCATCCAAATCCTGCCATGATTTCATCCAACCATGGCTACTGCCTGATAGACTCCCGATCCGATCTGCTGAACGAAGGGGTCGGCAGATCTTCTCTGCCCCCTTGCCTAGCGGTCCAGGTATTTGCCACCAGACGCTTCACTAGCTGAACAATGACCGTTGCCTGCGTGGGTTACGCATGCGCTTGGTTCGCCCTCGCCAGCCACTCCGAGCCAGCCGAGTGGCAGAGTGAGTCAAGCTACGTCGGGTGGTTAAAAAAAGACGGGCCAACAAACGTGTGCCGTACGTGCAGTATGAACCAGGCCGAGACATACAGCCCGAGGCAGGCAGTGTCTGAGCGAACCCTTGCGTATCAAGTGGACGAGCGTCTCGCCATGGCCGTTTTGCACGGACCCTTGAATGAGGAGAAGGCGGAGCCCGTTCGTCATCGTTGCGGCCAGGTTGACTTTAGAGTCATGGCCGTTGCGAATCTGTACGTAATGCCTGTCGGTTAGTCGGTCTCCGTGCTGCGCATCAGAAAATGGATGGATTGCCATGTGGTGGGTGATGGCGATGGTTGATTTCCATTGATGCTCTGAAACACCATCCACGTACGTCCATGCCACCTACGTAGCTCCTTGTGTCCTCAATCCCGTGCCGCGCTCCTTCTTGTCTCTCATCTCTCCTTCTTTGGCTGTTCTCGATGCACGGTTTACATCCCCTTGCGACACGGGTGGCCATCCTCCCTCCACGAGGCGCTGGATATCAAACAAACAACAATACAGCACAATAAACAACAAACAACAGAAACACCCACCCCCCTGACCCCGTCCCGTGCTCTCGCGGTTCCCAATGTAATGGCCCACAGGTGCTATACTGCAGCGTCTGGATGGCGATGCTGCTAATGCTGCTAATGCTGAGATAAATCCTCCGAAGGAGCAGGAAAAAGCAAAAAGCGTCTACCGAGATGCAAGTGCTGGGGTCGAGGGACCAATCCCACCGCGTCAATTGGCCCGCGCTTCACTGGCATAGCCGCTCTGGCCCCATTAGTGCTGCGCACCGACCGGTGCCATCTCAAAGCTATGCACGACATACCTCCTCGAGGCCACGATGCTTTTGCGTGCGCATGCAGGGCCGACCGTTGGGAGGCGTAGCCCTGTCGTGCGTACGTACATAGCCGCTCGCCTTGACCGTTGTTGCCCCGTGTCATGGCGATGCCTGTCTGTTGCTATTTTGCTAGCCATGTGGGCTGCTTGTCGAGCGGCCCAGTGCCAGCGCTTATCTCATCTCCCACAAGCGCTCACTTGTTTTGAGGGGGCCGAAAGTAAGTTTGACGGCTAGCTTGGTCTGTAGCATGTCTCTGGCCCAGCAGCGACCGCCGTTTCTGAGGAATGGCTCGGTTGGGGAAATCGAGCGCTGATTGCGACCCTTGCGAGCAAGTAGAGCTGTTGAGCCCAAGAATAGCTGCCTGGGCCTCCACCTCCAACCTTCTCACTAACCCCCAAAGCTCATCCTTCGTGCATCATCTATACCAAACCCCCGGGAATCCATTGGGTATTATGCCTTAATTCTCAACTAATACTTTGGCCATGAATAGTCGCTGCCATCGCAGTCAGCACGCCTCACTTCACTGCCCATAAGACCGCGTATAGTACAGTAGTCTGTATGCTCTACTTTGGGCTATCAGCGTAGTTAGGATCGAGACCGGATGGAGGTCAGATTATCGAGGCCGCGGCCTGCTGTTCCCTCTATCTGATACTTGTTCACATCTATTTATATAGGCTACTATGAAACTGTGAGCAGTGGTGGATATGGCTGGTTGTAAATGGCCAGTTGGCCGACGTGAGCATTGAGCACCTGTCCAGACGAACAGGTATCCTTATTGCTTTTCGTATTAGCTAGCTGTAAAACTATCCGAGCCATATGTCTAGCAAACAGTGTATTGTGCACGGCACGTTACCCTCCCTCCTTTAGACTTTCATCTTTCAGTTTTTCGTAAGCCAGGTGGTCATCTTTTGGCTGGCAGTCAGCCCCAGTCTCCATCCCAAGTGAATCAACGACGAGCCGAGTGAGAGTGAGAGTGCGAGCTCTTGACGGCTGAAAAGAAAGGGTGTTTCAGCGCATCTAGTGGCTTGATTCGCTTCTCGGGGTTGAGCGCGAGGCAGTGGTCTAGAAGATCTATGAAATTGTTCAGGTCACGAGTCTCTGCTTCGCTCAGCCCGCTTGATACGGCAGCGAGGCGTGTGCGTATGTCACGCGTCGGCTTGATTATCTGCAAGGTTCGGGCAGTAGTCTGTAATTACAATAACTGTTAGCTAGACTCTTCGTATACAGTGCTCATCTGGTCTGACGCCGTGTTGTGCTTTTGGGTTTAGGGTTGACGCTGCTCCTGCTGCCCCACTGGGGCTCAAGACCAACTCAAGGACGTGATTCGAGAACACCTCTTGGCTGCCTTGCTGAGCTGAGGCGAAAAAGCAATTACATGTGGGGTGAGCAACTAGCTTCAACAGACCATTGGCAACCGTTCTTCACATCATCCACCCGGAGGAGGAAATTCCAACGGCAGGCAGCTACGCACGAGGCTGAGGCCACAGGAGGCCCAGACTCTTGCCTAACGTACGCTATGATGCCACTAGGCCATCAAACTAGCACGTGGCTTTCGGACCTTAAAAAAGAAACGGTTTGCTGGGTCGTGAGGCTTGTGTTGCGCCCCGAAGTCCAGACCACACGGCGTAATGACTGTGACAGGACAAATGCAATCAATGGGGGGAGGAAAGGGGCAAGGGGGGGATATTGCTTTCTGTGAAGACGTACTTTACCAAGAATCTTATCTCGCTCGATCGAGACGAATTGTCCTTTCTCATCGAAATGCTGAGGAGAGAGCTGTCCACGTTTGTAGAGCTTTGGCGTAATCCGACCTCGAACTTCCATAATGGCCTTGAGCATTTGATTATTGCTATCCCCTGTGAAGAGGATCTTCCCAGTGTACAGTTCAAACAATGTGCAACCAATAGACCACACGTCTACACCGTAGTCATAGGGAATTCCAAGGATAACTTCTGGGGCCCGGTAGAAGCGGCTGACTAGGTAAGGGGTAATCGTTGTCTGAGCAGTTGCAGCGTCAGACCGGTCGATGGCAGTACCAAGATCACAGATCTTGAGGACTGTGTGGTTTTCGTTGACCTTCAAGAATGAGTTGTTAGTGTATTCGTTCTGAGCGACTGTTGGGGTGAGAAGAGAGATGTACCAAAATGTTGTCGGGTTTAAGGTCGGCATGGATAATGTTGCATTTGCGCATGTGGGCCAGAGCCACGAATATCTGGTAAGCATATGCTTTCGTAGCCTTCAGCGTGATGCCGACATTCAAGCCGTACTTTTTCAAGATTTCCCGTAGATTGTAGCCAAGATGTTCAAACACCATGCACAGATGGCCACGGAATTCGAATGATCGCTCAAATTTCACCACATGTCTGCGATCGTCAGGGTCAGATTCGTTGAGCTTCTCGAGAATGGCAATTTCTGTGAAGCCGCCTTTCTTTAAAGCATCGTTGTTTCGCATGATTTTGATGGCAACCAATTTCTTGGTCTCGACATCCATGGCGCGGACAACACCCGAAAACATGCCCTTACCGAGGGCATGTTGAACCTGATAACGGCCCCCGAGGACTTCGCCGACGCGATGTTTGTAATACCCGTCCTTGTCATCCCCTTCAAGGATGCCTCCATTAGCTTGAGCGTTAGGATCAATATCCATCGTGTCCACTGCTGATGTAGTTTGTGTTGGCTGGGTGGTATATTTCTCTTCGTCAAAATCTTCGGCAAACATGTCAAGATCATCGTCTGGATCCTCAGAAGATGGGTTGGGGGCTTCCTTATGGGGCGCTGCCTCTGGTTTCTCCCTCGTCCCTACCATGTGCGATTCGCCGTGGACAACTACTTGACCATGCCGCAACTCATCTCGACGCTCATCCTCTTTCATATCGGCGGTCGGATCATAATCTGCGGCAGAAGGTCCTTCTTCATCATCAGCTCCCTTATTGGCACCCAAGTCCACAAATTTTTTATCGTTTAGTAGGTCGATGGCTCCTGGCGAGAGCTCGTTGGGGGTGTCAGGGGATCGTGGAGATTCTAGCGGTCGAGTTAGCTGGACCAGTTCAGCAAGCTTGGTATTATTGTTCGGCTTACCAGAGGGCAAAGTCCGTGGAGTCCGAGGCGAATCAGGCTCGAATTGTGTTCTGAGAGGGCTGATGGCCTGGGAGGCTGCTGGCGATGATAGGTGAGCTTTATCGCTTGCGCCAACAGCGTGAAGGAGAAGAGGAGTCGCAGAGCTCGATTTCGCCAAGATCTCTTCGCGTCTCTTTCTGCGACGCTCTATCTCAAGCTCTTCATCGATAGGCTCGGGTTCTTCAACTTCCTCCTCAGGCTCAGGGGGCTTTGGGGAATCGGTATTAGATGTTGTTGCTATCGGTCCGTTCGTGCGAGCATTGCTTTCTTGAGCCGGGCCTCTGGTGTGTTTAGCATCATCTTTCCCGTAACGTGTATCCCCTCCTACTGTAGCCCTCGAGTTTGAGGACCCTCTTAGTTCCAAACCCCGATCATCCTCATATTTCAGTCCCTCTGCATGGTCGTTACTTCCTCGCACGAAGCGATCAAGGCGTCCTTTGCCTCCCTCATTCCTGGATCGATGTGGGGACCGGCTTCGGGTACGGGGTCTTTTGTCCGAATATTGTTGGCGGCTTCGATTATCATAGTGACGATCCCGGTCACGGCTGCGATCTCGAGCGCGGTCGCCATCTCGGTTTCGTGGATCGTAGCTGTAATGTGAGGAGTGGGACGATGGACGGTCTAGATCCTCGTACGAAGGACGCGACCTGTGATAGCCCTCTCTTCTGCGATCACCATAATGCGAACGTGAGTGTCTGGAACCGAAATCGCGCCCTCCACCGTAGTGGTCTCGATCGTCGCGCGGTCGCTTGTTGCCTCGTGGGGAGCGACTGCGACGTGAGGAGGCGCTGTACCTGGAGGCACTGTCGAATTCAGGAGATTTACTCCGGGTTCTGTCTTTAGGGTCAACACCGTTTTTTTCTCCAGTATGCGACAGTGAAGATGCCTTCATATTCCCAGAATCAGCGATCTCGCCTTCGTCCGAACTCGACGCCATACTTCAAGTTGGGGTTGCTGGAGCTGGATCCAGATCCACACGGGATCTTTGTATCAAGGATGAAAGTGTCAGTCAGAGAGTTCTTCAACGGGATTTGCAGCAGGAAAAGAGCCGAACCAGATCAGCGCAGACTGCTCAGGTCATGAGGACGATGATAACTGGAGGAGAGATGACCAGGGGTTGGAATTTATAGAAAAGATTCGTGAGGAAGAGTCTTGAGCAATTATGAATAGCGCGATTCATTCACTTGAAACAATGAGCACATGCGATGTTGGATATCTGCAGGTCGCCATTCATCGAGATGGATGCTATTGTGTGGGAATAGAATCAGAGGCTTTGGGATGGATGTGAGGC